TGCGGCAGCTGTAGGAACCCAATCCTGACGAGGCGGCCATAAAGATGCTGCTGCCAAAGCCGCGGGGCTTGTTTGATCCCGTAGAGGGATTTTATCAGCTGGCACACTTTTGTGGGATCGTCGATGAATCCGGGGGGCTGCTCGACGAAGATCTCGGCGTCCACAGGTGCGTACAGGAAGGCATTTGCGACATCGATCTGGCGCAGTGGTAGTTTCTTCGTGGCCGCGACGGCGAGTAGAATGCGAAAAGAGGTGTGACGGGAGACTGGGGCGAATGTCTCTGTGTAGTCGGTTCCGTATCGCTGATCGAATCCTCGTACGACCCAGCGAGCCTTGAATCGTTCGATGGAGCCGTCCGCATTAGTCTTGATGCGGTACACCCACTTTCCCGAGAGCACGTTTTTCCCGTTGGTTTTTGTTGCATGTACCAGCTTCCACGTGTTTCGGTCTTGCAGGGCCTTTAATTCTTTTTCCATTGCTTCCTTCCATTTTGCCTTGTGTTCCCCCCCCAGAGCCTGCGACAGAGTCGTTGGCTCGCGCGGAGACCATGGCGGCGGGGTCTGGACGGCGACCCATAGTCCAAGGATCTGCAGGCCCGTGGGTGTGTGTCGAGGGGAATTTTCATTCCTGGGATAGGCTGCTTCGTCACCATCTTCTGAGTCAGGTAAGAAATTTGGTCCGATGCGTTCTGAGACATTCGTGTCTACTAGTTGAGGTGTAGCGTAACCTTGGTCAGCGAAGTGGTAGTAGGTGTCGAGGTTGTTACTATCGAGAGGATTGTCGTCGTCGAGGGGAACGGGCACGGAGCATTAAGGGAGTGGTCCGGCAGTTTCCAAGGCTTCAGGTACGTTTTCTTCTGCTGCGTCAGCTTCGGCAGCACGATCGGCGAAGGAGCAAAGGCCCGCGAAGCCGTCGGTAGGGTCGTCTGTGTTGGCGACGTTGTCCAGGTAATGCTGCAGCGTCAGTCGCTCGTAGAAAACCACATCACGTGATGCCGCTGTATTTTTGTCTTGTATGTCGAGGAGTTTCCATGCTTGAAAATGTTTTGCGATGCCGAGGTGTAGTCCCCACCGTGCTCGTTGAGAGAAGTGTCCTGCTCGAGCTGTGTGGGGTCTGTACTGTGCCATGCAGCCAAAAACTCGGAGTAATTTTGTGCTGCCCCTTTTTCGTGTCCACAGCAGGTGCGGTGATGCGTTGTTGGGAACTTATGACGAGGACAGCAAATTGTGCAGGTGGACTGCATGCGTCATCGCGTCTGGCCACAGTGTGTTGGGCAGTCTCATCCCCAGGAGCAGCTTTCGCATCGTCGTCTGCAAGGTCCGGTTCATCCTCTCTGCGACCCCCTGCTGTTGGTGAGCGTAGGGCAGGGACACCAAGCGTCTGATGCCTCTTTCTCCCAAGTAGTTCCTGAATCGTTGTGACTGGTATTCCAGTGCTCCGTCTGACTGGAAGCTCTTGAGTTTCGAGCCCGATTCTCGTTCAGCGATGGGCAGCCATGTCGTGAAGTCTTCGAACGCTTGATCTCGTGTCTTGAGGTTGTAGTGCCAGACGTATCGTGTTGCTGCGTCGATGAACATTATAACGTAGTTGTATTCTGCTTCACTGTCGTCTTGAGGCATATTTAAGATGTCGTTGTAGACCTTTTCCATCAGTTCGTATGCATGTGCGCTTGGATTGTGGTGTGACGTAAAAGGTTGGTGTGGAAGATCGGCTTCGGGGCACGTGAAGCATTGTGCGCGTGGTCGGCGAAGTTCTTGGCCGCTCGTTGTAAGAAGGTCATTTCTTTCTAACACTTCGGCTTGGATGGTTTGTAGCATTGTGCTGTTTGCAGGATGCCCGAGGCGTTGATGCCAGATGTCGTCGGGAGCGCGATGGCCGGGTGAGCGTTGGTACATGTCGGCGTTGGAGAAGAACGCGACGACTGTGGCAGGACTTCGGCAGACTTCTCGGGTGATGGGCATAAGTTGATCTACTTCGGTTGGCGATCCTCGGATTGCTAGTGATGGTACACGGCTAGGTCCTACTGCTGCTACTGCAGGTGATGTAGGGGAAGGGACGCTTGCTGGTACTTGTCTTTCTTGTCGAATGACTGCTAATGCTCGTGTTCTCTCTGCTGCAGGTATGGTGTTGGAGTACCAGAATCCATCTGGGGTGAAGTCGGGGTCAAGATCCGGCGGGTGTGTCCAGGCGGCGAACTACACGATGCCATCGCTGTCGGCAGTACCGCGGTCGGGGACGAAATCCAACACGAAGACACCTGACTTCAGGAGGGCGCGACCGATGAAGAGGCCGCCCTTCCCGTGGTAAAGACGAAATTCGTTGGCGTCCGAGTCGCATTCCAGGTGAATCCCCTTTTCCATTAGCTGGCTGACGCTTAGTAGATTGTATCCCAAGTTGTCGACGATTAGAACTTTGTTGAGTTGTAGGATGACATTTGTCTCCATGGACTGCAACTGAACCACTCCTTGTCTGTTTGTTTTCAGGTTTTCGTTGTTGGCGACGGTGATGATGACATCGCGGTTGAGGCGTCGCTCTCGTTGTACAAAGCGTCTGGAAGAACACATGTGTTGGCCGCAACAGCTGTCCAAGAACCAGGTGTTTCGCCCGGTGGGTTCGGTGTTGGCGACTGCAGCGTACGTTGGGTTGACCTGAAGGCCTTGTGAGCGTGGCGGCGGCATTTCTTCTTTGTCTGTAGCGTAAGTGGGTGGTGATCCGGGTGCGGAGTTGTCGATGCGTACCATGCAATTGATGATATTCGGTGTGCCTTGTGCAGATGTGGAGGAACGCCTTGGCGGACTTTCTTGAGTGGAAGTGACTTGTGGGTCTACTGGACGATAAACTCGGGGGCGTGTGCAGTTAACCTTGGAGTGTCCGGATGTTTCACAGTTGTGGCAGAACGGCAGCACGATGGTGAGTCCTTGGGTGTCGTGTCGATTCTGCCTATCACGTCGATTGTGGTTGTCGTTTCTTCGTTGAGCATAGAAGACTAACGGTTGCTGCCTGTTTCTTGGTTGTCTTTCTTCAAACAGGTCCATTTCCTGTTGTTCAGCATGAAGCTCGGCGCAGAGGTGCATCTCCGAAATTCGTCCGTGGGCGCAAAGAAGCGAGCAGGTGGTTCTCCATTCTGGCCCGAGCCCGGCGAGGACAAGTGTCACGAAGCTTTCTTCAGTGATTGTACCTCCGCACCGAAGCAGGCGGTCGCGGAGTGTCTGGCAGCGACTCATATACTACATCGCCTTTTCCCCGGTTTTTATTTGTATTGTTGTCGGCTGCTGCATGAGTCTGCTTTGTGTCACGCTGTCATTTGCTTGGTAGAGACACTTGAGGTGATGCCATGCGAGCTCCGCGGAGTTTCCGTAGCTCCGATACGTTCTGATGCTTTGTTGTTCTTGTGGTGACAGGTTCCGCAGGAGAACTGTGTACGCCAGCAGCGACTGATACGTGAAGATTTCCTGCTCCTTTGCAGTGCCATTGCTTGGAAATGGCAGGGACCCGTTGAAGTATCCCAAGAGATGCGCGGCCTCCATCAGCAGCTCGAACTCGAAGCTCCAGGTAAATAATTCGTGTCCGTTGAACGGTGAGGATGTCTGCAGTTTGATCACGTGTGAAAACTGCGCCTGGAGACTCAATATCTCGTTTGGTGTCTGTTGTGATGCAGCTGCTGTTGGTTGGGCACGGGGCGGCATGAACTCGAACGTCCTCGGTGAAGAGTGATAAGGCGCAAAGGTAGGCGCTTGATTGTGTCGCCCGAACGATGAGTTGTCGAGGCTCATCGGCGCTAATCCCATGTTTCCTCCGTTGCTCTGTGTTGAATGTGCAGGTGTCCTTGTCTGCTGCTGTTGGTCGAAGTGCGACATGAAGCTGAAGAACCTTTCCATAAGGTTCGGGTCCACGCTTGAAGAGGGTGATGGGGTTACCATTTCTGGTGCCCTTCCTGTGGTTTCTTGAGCAGCGCCGGTCTCAGTTTGCAGTCCTGGAGTGTGTAGTCCAGAGTTGCCGGGTTGAGTGTCTTGGGCGCTGGGTGAGCCGGTAGAGATCTTCTTGCCCTTGTTGTCCATGACTTATAATCGATGAAGCTTGTTGAAGTGTTAATTGTAGATAGAGCGTTGTTGCTGGGAGTTTGGTCTCTGACCAGCTCTCATACCATGTTGGGCTGAGAAAAAAGGCCTTAGGATCTTTCAGATACTAAGTCCCAGTTGTACAAGATACTTGAGTAGTGCAGCGGAAGTTGAGTAGTTGAACCCTTGCACTAGTATGTGAGAGCAAGTGATTGATTAAAAGAAACAAGCATACAGCAAATATATAGAGAAGTAGGAAAGTGATGCAGTTATAGAATACAGTTGAAGGAACGGTTATCGAGTCGCACAGCGACTCGATAGTCGATTCGGTTACCACTCTTGCAGTTGTAACGGTCAGTCGCAACCTCCGGTTGCGACCCTTCGAGTCTTTTCGTCCTTTCATGTTCTTTCGTTCAACCTCCTCGTGTAACCTCCGTTGACTCGCATACTCGATATGGCTTCACTCGAGTGTAGTGTTACACTTCAGAAACGCTTAAGTCCTTGAGGTATTTCCAACAATTTACATACAGTGCGACGCATATCAGAAAACAGATTTGAGAATACGTTACCGTTGTGGTGTATGCAAGTTAACAAAAGAGGGGCTAATATGTATATATGTATATATGCTTCATTCATTCTTTCAATATTTTGGAAGCTTCCTTTGCCAATATATATTTTCTAGTGCTAGACTTTTCTACATGGACGTGTTGATATGCATTGTATGATCGATATGTTCTTTTGAAGCCTTTCGGCTGTCTGTGTCTGTAGTATATCCATAACGAGTATCCTGCAGTCTGCCACCCTTGCTCCCGCCAAACCGACGGGCTGTGGCAAATCAGAACCTTTGTGCATCAAACTGTCACATGGCGCTTCGGCCAGCCCCTGCTGCAGCCAAGCTAAACACCCCCAATCAAGCTCCAGGTGTGATATTCAACCTCTTCGCACCCTCTGTTCCAGTGAGCGAATCCAAACCCACGCATCTGCGTCCTGCGTTGCCATACCTTGCATAGGCACCAGCTCATCGTCTTTTCGTTAGTCCCCCTCTGGTCCTCACCCTGTAGACCCACTAACGTACTCTAGATTTACTTTCTGCCAGAGGCTGGCTTGCTGGTAACAACGCTACGGAGACTGACCCCCTGCTGATGAGTTTGAGATGGCTACGTCGCATGATGATAATATAACGAATCTGCTGCCTAGCGTCTTCAATGGTGAAGACGGGATGGACGTTGAGGAATCAATTGACACGAGAGTTCTTGAAGACTACAGAGAGGTACGACTCTCGAATTCCCGCTTTAGTTTGATTTTTTCTTCCCAGTTTCGACAAATTTATCTGACATAAATTCTTTCTGCAGGGCCTTGGTACCGACGCGACGATTCATTCTCGAGACGTCTGCTCGCTAAACCAGCATGAGCTTGGTCTTTTAAACAGGAATTCGCTGAGAATGGGAACGGGAATTTCACAACGCCAGAAGAGGCCGAGTCGAAAGTTTGACATTACAATGTACGAGCAGTGGAAGTACATTACGTGAATAATGAGGGATCCATCAACTCACATGCCTTTCGTTCTTTATGCAGGAAACCGTTGCCTTATGAAGAACTGGCCAATAGCATGAAGGGTGAGACGCTTCGTATGGTCGAAACCACTATCATTGGCTTTTTGTTTTGCGATGTTAATGGAGACTTATATACCACCTTTTGTAACGGCTCTTGCTACACTGCAGGTCCTCATGTTCCTCCGGAGAAGGAGCGTTCGAAAATGAAGCGACAGGGAACAGGAAGGTTCGTTCTGTTTTTTTCCGCCTCTCTTTTGTGCATTTTAATTCTCGTCGGATTTTCTACAGTCGTCCTCACGATAAAATGCTGTTCTGGAGCAGGGTGAAGAAGCGAAGACCATTTGGCTTACGAACACCCAATTTTGCTGACGATGAGGAATTTGAGGAAGAGGATGAGGAGGTCCATGCCGTTTTTTCGAAGAAGGATCAGCCGTCAAGGTTTGGGGAAGATCAAATGCGCCTGGAGGACCTATTGCAGAAGAAAACCGACGTCCGGGCAGGATCTATGGTTTGGAATTCCTTGGTTCTAAACCCGAGTGGTCATACTGGCAATTCGCGTGAGCTAGCGCAATCCACCGTGCTGGACTCAGTGACGCCTGAAGATGGTACTCATCTGCATGGTTCCGAAGTCAAGAACCTGAATGAAGCTTTTGGTGAAGAGTTTGGGACTGAACGTGTGGAAGACGGTGCATCACCAGTTACAGAGGCTACACAAGAGGTCGAACATGGTGAAGCTGCACATCAGGCTGAGGCGGAGAAATATCATGACGCTGAAGGCGATAACCCAATGAGTTGCCCGTCTCAACCTGCAGAAGCTGTCTCTGGACCCGGTGAAGCAATGGAAGGCATGGTACGCGATGATGTCTCTGGAGCTGAACAAGATGCTGAGCTAGGCGATGAGGATGAGGAGTGCCACGTGGTGGAAATCATGTGCTCAGAACAGGCCAATGAGAAGCCAGACGCCGCCCCTGTTCCTGCTGTTGTGGAGGTGGAATTCACGAGTAGCGTACCTGACGCAATCCCAACCACTCCAGTGGCACCGCAACCGCCAAGTGTTGTACGCAAATCCGCTATGAAATCTGGCCGCAAATCTGCACGCAAGTCTGTGACTATGGCTGATCCGCCTACTTCATCTGAAGGGTTTGCTATGCTGCCGTTTACTCCAGAGGTGAGCAACTGTTTGGTGACACTGACAGCTTCAATCCTCGTTCGGCCAACTAATGCTCCGCCATTTCTGCCTGCAGGCTGGTTCCTACCTGACTAAACAGAAGAAGTCTGCGGTACGCTTGCATATTTTCCTCCTTGCGTTTACTTAGTCTTTGACCACATAAACTAACAGCAATATCTTTTGTGCGTCTCAGGTTCAGAAGGAGAAGTTAAGGGATTTGTGCAATCGCCGAAGCAGCCTGGCAGGCAAGCAGCGGGAATTCCCACTTGCTTTCCTTTGGGTTTGCTCTATGTCGTCTACTTTTTGGCTAGTTCCTTAACTTCGTCTGACTCTCTGGCGTTTGTGCAATAGGTGGGGGACTGATTTGGGATGGTAACATAAGGAAAAGCACTCGTACGCGAATGAAGCCCTTGGAGTGGTGGCGTTTGGAGGTGGTTAATTATGGCCGTCCTCACCAGAGTGAGTTCCTTCTGTGCTCTTGTATAGCTGCAATTTTCCAATTGTCCGTCTGTTTGCACGTTGCACATTATGATGTCCCGCTCGTCATAACGTTGCTGTTTTCCAGGCTTGCCAACTCCAGTGGAAGTCCAAGTCTGTTCACCCGAGCCTTACTGGCCTGCTGTGCCACCAGGAGGCTTGCGTAAAAGGGTTGGAGTTCGTAAGATGGCGATGCAGAGTTTGCGTGAGAATACTGATGCAAGAATCCTGGCCATTGAGTAAGTCTCCAGAGTGGCATGGTCTGCCCATCTTCTCCCAGTGGCTGCAATGTACAGTGGTGATTGTGTGGGTACATATGCCAGTCCTTGAGTCATCCCCAGGAACCACAGCTGACCTTACAAGTACTACGTAGTATTTTTGTGTTAGCATAGCACTAATTCTTTAGGTCTAGGTTCATAGCATGCACCGTCAATTCTTCATTGACAAGGATTTGGTGGGTGTAGTAGTAATCCCACTTCGATGCTCATCCAAGAGATCTGGTATGAAAGTCATGTCTGCTGTACTCATTCCACATATGCGGACATAACTAGCAGTACCAACACACCTGCAAGAGTCATTAATGTACAACATTTAAATCCCACTCCAAGATTGTCCCATGACAGTTGTCTGTACTGGTAACTCTGGATCACACCTGTCATACTGAAAGGCTGCCATGGGTCTTCTTGCATAGAACACAGCAGTGTGCGAGTACCCAGACTCGGACACAACATACGCATCGCACGATGCAAGCAGTAACCATTCTGTAACTACCTCCTGGAACAGCCGAGCCTCTTCCTGCTTGTCGCTCTCAATGGTGGTGCTGGTGGCATTGGTGTTAGCAGTGGTCATGTTGAGGTTGGCGTCAGTGTACTCAGCATCTGGGGATATGATGCCAGCCGGGCGACGAGAGGCTTCAGTGTCAACTGCTCCCAGATTGTTGGAATGACGTGGCACGAATCCAGTGGTGAAGACCTGGTAAGGTAATTTGGCAAAGACCAGTAGCAGCAAGGTTATGAAAGCCAATATTTGTCAGATGGTAGTCAGGAGGCAATCTGCCCGCATTTGGGTTGAAATAGGATTGCCCACACACACAAATTGGGATGAGCACATGTGATAAGGGGGCAGGAGGAGGAGTGGGCGTATCTTTGTGCAAGAGTGAGAGCACACAACACCAGGATGCATGTTGATGAGAGAATGGGCAGGGGACGGAGTGGAGGGTCAGGCATGTGTTGGTAGGAGCTCCTGTGGTTGCTGGTCAACGCATGATGAGGAGGAGGTTTAGGCCTAAAACGGGTCCATGGAAACCCTAATATTGACCCATGCATGATGCGCCGGAATACGAGATAAGGAAGTCGTGAGAGAAAGGGGGGAGAAGCAGGTAGGGGCATGGAGGCATGGCAAGAGGTCTGACCTTGTCGGGGAATTGAGATTTGATCGCGTATTTGAGCTGAGCTGAGTTGGTGATGAGCATCCAGCGCACGGCAAGAGAGGAAGGGAACCAGTAGGACTCCACTTTCTGCGGGTGGGCAGGGGGGAAGAGAGGGGGGGGCAAGGAGAGATGGGCCAAGGAGGAGAACCGGAGGGGACTGAGGGGTATGCACGCGGACAGGAACCGGAACGGATGGGGATGGCGTCTGGAGAGAAAATCGGAAGGGAGATATAATTCTGAGAATGATAGGCTTTGTTCCTCCATGTTGTACAATGTGAGCCCTTCAGAAGTTGTTCAGCCATCTGTTCAGCCTTCTGTTCAGCCATCTAGCCTCCCATGAGCGCATGCATGCAGCCACCAGCCTCCCTCAAAGCACATGTCAACCATTCCATTGGTGCATTCAAGCCACGCCACCCACTCCTTTCCTCACTCAGCTGCTTCGGGTTGGCAGAAGAGCACCATTCCCCTCGTTTCCCTTTCCTTGCACTTCCCCCATTCCCCACCCTCCTCTTCCCCCTCTCCCCACCCCCCTCTCCCCCCCCTCACCCACTTCCTCCCCCCTCCCCCTCCCTCCCCCCATCCCCACCTGTGCGCATTCAATCCACTCCTTGGCCTCCTTCCCCAGCCATGCCACCTGCTCCTCATTGAGCTGCTTGGGGTCCCCGTCACCCCACTTGCCGTCCCACAGGAGCCCAGGGTAGGTGCCACCTCACAGATTCCCCCCCTCGGTTATTCCCCTCCTTTCCTTCCCTCCCCACTTTGCTAGCCCCCTCCCCCTCCCAAAACCCTCCCCCCGCCCCTCACTTCCTCCCTTCCCCCCCCTCCCCCCCCCTCCCCTCCCCCTCTCCCCCTCCCTCCCCCCATCCCTCTCACCTGTGCGCAGTCGATCCACTCCTTGGTCTCCTTCCCCAGCCATGCCGCCTGCTCGTCGTTGAGCTGCTTGGGGTCGCCGTCGGCCCACTTGCCGTCCCACACGAACCTGTGAAAGGTGCCACCTCACAGATTCCCCCCCTCGGTTTTTCCCCTCCTTTCCTCCCCTCCCCACTTCGCTAGCCCCTTCCCCCTCCCAAAGCCAAGGCTCCCCCCTTCCCCCTCCCAAACCCACCCCCCCCCTCCCCCCACCCCCTCCCCCTTCCCCCCCACCTCTCCCCCCCAACTCTCACCTGTGCGCAATCGATCCACTCCTTGGCCTCCTTCCCCAGCCACGCCACCTGCTCCTCATTGAGCAGCTTGGGGTCGCCGTCGCCCCACTTGCCGTCCCACACGAAGCCGTCCTTCACGCGGATGTGGATGCCCACTGTCGCCACGCTGCGCATCTGCCCGCCCTCCCCCGCCATGCCCGCGCGCAGCTGCTGCTCCAACCCGCGCAGCAGGGCCTGCACCTCTGGGCGCGGACTGGGGGGCGGGGCGGGGGGTGGGGGGGGGGGAGAGGGGCCAGGAAGGGGAAGGGAGAGAAAGGGGGGGGGGGGGGGGGGGGGCGTGGGAGCAGGGTTGGAATGTTGAGGAAAAGATGCGGGAAGATGCGGGGGGTGTGAAAGGAAGCGAGGATGGCATGTGCATGTATCATGGCTCCCATCCCCACCATGGGCGCGCGCAGCTGCGCTCCATGCTGCACAGGCAGGAGGCCTTGCACCTCTATGCGCGGACTGGGGATCGGGCGGGGAGGGGGGGAAAGTGGGGGGGGGAGGTAGTGGAGGGAAGGGAAGTGGGAAAGTGGAGCATGAGGGGATTCACACGCATGACATGACATGACATGACATGACATGACATGACATGAATAAATGCCCTCTATGCAGCCATGCCATGTATGTGCAGTGCAGCGTGTGGTGGGTGGGATGACACGCATGCATGTGTGCTGGACGTCATCCCATGAACCATCTACGTCAGCGTATGACAGCCTCAATCACATCACATACCATCCCCTCTCCCCACAAGCCCTGGCGTACGGCAGTTGCAGTTGCAGATAGTCTTTCCCCCATTTCCATTCCCCCCACTTCCCCAAACCCCCCCCAACGCGCCCCCCCCCTCCCCCTCCCCCCCGGGTCGCTCACGTGAAGAGGAACCGCAGGAAGCACCCCACGGCGTACGGCAGCCGCATGCCGCTCTGGCTGAACCGCTGCGCCCACGACCCCGCGGCGCGCGTCTGCAAGTACGTCAGCACGCCGCGGTTCGACGCCATGCGCACGTTCGTCGCGTTGTTCAGCTTCGAGAAATACGGCTCTAACTCCACGTACTTATTCCGCAGCTCCACAAATACCACCTCCCCCGGTGTCGCCGGCTCGGGCCGCCCCGTCCAAGACTGCGGGCCGTTTATAAACCGCGACGGCTCTAGCGGCACGTCCGGGGAAATCACCCAGTCGATTAAGTTGGGCTGGAACGCCGCGGGGAGGCACGCGTGGCGGATGATAAAGGCGCGGTTGTCTAAGACCGCGACGACGAACGCCGCCACTATGCCTACTAGCACGTCCCCGTACCCGCCGCACCCGTTCAGCCACTCGAAAGTTAGGAACCTAATTGACGGGTCGTACGGCGGCGCCGCTTCGGACGGCGGCGCTGCGGCGGCGGCAGCGGCGCCTCCAGCGGCGGCGTCCGCGCCGTCCGGTGCGGCGGGAGCCGCGGCGGAGGGGGCGGCGGCAGACCGAGCGGCAGACGCGGCGGCGGCTTCGCTCTGGAGGCGAGCCGCGTAGGCGTCTTTATTGGCCTGGCGGATTCGCGCGTGCAGATCCATGTACTCGCCGGGCCACGAGCCGCACACCTTGTCCGAGTCGCCGAAGTCGAAGTCGAGGAACGGCGGCGCGTACTCGTTCATCTGATGCGCCTGGCCCGCGGGGATTGCGGGGATTGCGGGGAAATGGGGGGAAATGGGGAGATTGCGGGGAATTGGGGGAGTGGGGAGAAGGTGCTTTGAGGCGCTGAAGGAAAGGAGACGGCGGAGACAGGGTAGTGGAACAGGGGAGGTGCAGCGGGGGAGGGGGAGGGGGAGCGGGGGAGGGGGAGCGGGGGAGGAGGAGGGGGAGCGGGAGGCCATGAGAGCAGGAGGCAGTGCAAAAGAAGAGGTTGAGAGTAACAAGAGAGCGCGAGGCTGCGAGCGATGATCAGGAGAAGGTGTTGGAACGGCTGTGTATGTACGCCGCCGAGTCGACTTTAAAGACGACAGCGCGACAGCGCGACAGCACGGCAGCACAGCAGCACGGCAGCATCCTGCTGAGCGTACGGAAGTGCGTACGGCGAGATGCGCCCAGCAGGCCGCAGCCTGAAATGCATAGCGCAGCCAAAAGGCCGACTGGCGTTTTCAGGGCGCCTTAAAAGTCGGCATTAAAGACAGCGGCCTGCTGAGCTTACGGAGATGCACCGGGCGGACAACAGGCAGATTAGAGAGACGGCAGCTCCAGCGGCGTAGACGGCGGGCGCGTGACAACGGCGACGCCCCCGCGGTCCACACGGCAAGCGCAAGTCGCGCAACGCCCCCATGCGCATCCGTCGGTCGGAGAGGGTGGTAGCGTCGGCCTTCATTCTACTGGTAATGATCCTCAAGCGTGGACTGCGCGGGGGCACAATAAAGCGCGAGTAGATCTCGATGCGACGGCCTTAGAAAGCATAGTCGGCAGCAACCATGGCTACGATGGAGGCATAGTCAATAATTTCCAGCACTAGATGAATTTTGGAGATAGGCGCATGCTGTAGCCCAGGTAGGGCACTGTAGGGGGTGGTTGCTTTGGTTGGTGCCGCAGCACAGCCAGCAAGACCTGCGAGTTCGATTTTGAAATAACTTCGGTTCGATTCGTTTCAGGGGTTTTCGGGTTCGGTTCAAATGATTGGTAAGGGAGGAGGTAGTACTGCACTGTACAAACAGGGAGGGAGGCTGGGGTCAAGAGGAGTCGAGTCGAAGGGTGTGTTGCGAGAGGTCAACGCAGCAAGCGAGGGGGCGAAATTGACCCTCTGCTCGTTGTGTGGTGTGGATGCCAGCCTGTTCTGTAACGATATTTCTGTACTCGGTGAGATGCAACTCGGTGAGCGGTACTAGGTAAACATTCCTAGCCTTAAACCGTAATACGTTCACATTCTACCGTTTTATATGCCTTTCTTTCAAAACTTTTCAGAACGAACATATCTAGCGGAACAGCAAGGACGCATTTTAGGGACTTGCCCTAGTGGCGCATTTAAGAAACACTATCGGTATATCACTTTTAAATTAAACTCCATCAAGAGAAGCCTTACACACTACCAGTTCCACCAGTTGCTCACATCAATCCTCCATGGACACAGCCAGCCCAGCTCCAGCCAGAAGCCCTCCGCCGATAAGCACAAGCAGCGCAACGAAGTTATCAATCCAGCCAATCAACGGCAGCCAGTTGGGGATAAGGTCCCAAGGCAGCAGCAGGTAGCAGAGAGCAGAGACGGCGAGGGAGACGCCGAGAGAGAAGAGAGAATGGTCGGAGGCGGTGGCCCACACGATGGGGATGAAGAATATGGCGAGGGAGAGCAGCAGCTGCAGCAGACAGCGCTTGGCGAAGCTGACAAGGCCCATGCGATAGCAGGAGTGGAGTGGAGGAAGACAGGCGGCTGGTGTGTTACAGGAGGAATGTGTGGGGACGCGTGGAGAAGGGCGGAAGAAAGAGACGATGAGGAAGCTGCGGATTGGCAGGAGGGATGTAGGCGGTGTGAGATACCTAGCGGGATGAGGAGTCGCTGCTGGTGCGGATGCGAGGAAACCAAGGGGACAGCAGGGCCGGGTGACGGAGATTGATGTAAGGACGAGGAGAGACTCAGATATGTCGACCAGGGGTCGGCGCAGGAAGCGATGACAGCACTATAAGCAGCGGCAACAGAATTGTTAACTGTACTAAGCGCGAACGCGAGAATGGGAGGTGGGCCAAAGCTATGGGACGAATCTAAAAGGTTGTAAACTTACAATGTGTCAAGCAATTTTCTGGTTGTGAATTTCAGTGATCGTACTAGTACAGCAACGAGTGAGTGCTTGAGTTTCGGTGTGAGTGGCCTAGAATGTAAGGAAGCCCAGGAACCTTCGCCAAATCGACGACGCGAAACGAGGCGAGCTTGGATCAGGAGGGAATGAAGGGCCGTAGAAGGCGACGGAATTCCAAATAGAGACCTGAGAACCAACTGACAGATCCCACCCGGATTCTATTGCTCGAAGCAGACTTGACTCTGTGTGGCAGTCAGGCTTTGGGCTCTCGGAACGGAACTACTGTAGTTTGGGTGTGACGGGATTTCGCGTCGCCTTGGGTTGGGCTTGCAGGGGGGACAGTCGGGGAAGAATGGTTTTGGGGAGAGGAGGTGGGGGGAAAGGTTGGGGGATTCAAACGGATTCCCCCAGCGCAGCTTTTGATGAAAGTTGAATGAGGTGTCTCGCGTTTCAGAGCGTTCACAAATGTTTGGGTCTGGTCGAGTGGGGTACTCAGCGGGCCACTTCGCAGCTCAAGTTGACAAGTTGAAAATTCAAAAGCAGGCAGATCCGCGCGCCATGCGACTTCCCCGAGGGCATCCCTTCTTTGCCTTCTTCCCCCAAGTCCCCTCATTTTCTCCACCCTGCTCCTCCGCAGCCTGCAAGCGCCTGGTGGAGTTTCCGCAAGTCCCCTTAGTGTTCCGCCACCCCCCTCATCCCCATCCACCACAAAACACTATTGCCAACAGCAGTCGCCGTTGCTGCTTGTACTTCGTTGCTTAGCTTCCTCCGAGCTCAGCACTTCCATGGCCGCTGCGTCAGGCGGTCGCACCGATTGATTCGTCGGTTTTGTACATTTCCGCGCCGTAGTGCTTGTATACTCAATTCCAGTGGTTTTCTGGCTGCTGCATCCGCCACCGTCGCGCATTACCCGCGAGTGTTTTTTCTCTCAATTCCATTCATCCTGGCCGTTCCATTTCGCTCTCCGTTTCGGCGCACTTCAGCTCGCTTCCTCTGCTCGATTAATGACACAACGAAGTAGCTAGACAGCGATTTCCTCAGGTTTCTCGAGGCTCGCTTAGTCCTTTTTAGATTTCTCAAAAACACGCTGCGATTTCTCAAATACACCTCGCCTAAGGGTTCTTTCTCCTCTACGCACGCCACCTCCCTAGTTTCGGGACCCTCAAGACCACCCCTAGCGCTGATTCCGCACCTCCCTTGGCGATGGTGGGAATTTCTTCGCAGAGGGCGGAGCGAGCTCTTCGCATGAAGGAGGCCGAGCCGTCGCCACTTCCCGTGGGCGTCCTGAGCGACCGTAAGCGAAAGAGGATGTCGTCAGCCGCGTCGCATTCTGTCGCACAGCAGCAACCAGCTAGCGACGTCGGTACTTCTGGTTCGATATTGAATCTGATTAGCCGCGTGATTCCACTTGCCTCCGATCCCGCCAAGCGTCAACGGATACATCCCGCCGCTAACTCCTTCTCCCGCGCCGCTGCTGGCTTCGGCTTGAAACAAGGAGCGCTTGCTTCGTATCCTCCCGGCGTGCACGGCGTGGATGGCAGAGCCAGCATGCCAACGTGGCAGGATGCTGACGCGGCGAATCCAGCTGGCGCGGGAGAGGAAGGGGAGGAGGTGGAAGGGGAGGGCGAGGGGCAGCGGGAGAATGGAGGGAGCGGGTCATTGACCGTGTACAGAGAACCACCCGTCGGCCCGCGGCAGAACCTCTTGCCCATGGCTGCGCAGCCTCTGCTCCAGCGGGTGATGCCACGTGGCATGAACGGGCCTGTGCGGCGGTCGCCGCAGTCCAAGCGGGTGATGACCGCCTCGCCGTCTGTAGCGGCTATAGCGGTTGTAGCGGCACAGCAGCCGCTCTCGCTCGTACCGCCGCATCCGCAGGCACATCCGCAGGCGCTGCTTGCCGCCTCACCTAATACGGCCATGGATTTGGAAAGGCGGGGTGGGGATGCATACAGGATCCCGAGCCCATGGCGGTTAGGAGGCGGAGGCGGAGGCGGAGGCGGAGGCGGAGGAGCAGCAGCAGCAGCAGGCGGAGCGGCGGTGGCGCAGAGGATTTTCCATTCTCCGGGGCGGAAGGACCGGTGGTCGGAGACGCTAGTGAGGAAGAAGCGGAGGGGATCGGGGGCGAGTGGGTCCGGGACGAAACCGTCTGCTTCACCTGCAGCAGCAGCAGCTGCAAAAGCACGAGCACGAGCAGCAGCAGCAGCAGCAGCAGCGGCAGCGGCGTTACCGGCGGCGGGTGCAGCAGCTGCGAAGGCGGTAACTGAAGAGTGGATCGGGGTGTCGAGGCGGGTGACGGGTGCGCAGCTCGAGGCGTACAGGCAAATGGCGGGGGAGAAGAGGCAGATGAGCCCGGGGGAGCTGGAGAAGCAGAGGCAACGGTTTGAGGGGAAACGGGAGGATTCCAGGGTGGACTCTCTGCTTGGTGAGTTGGGCGGATCAAGGGCGGGAGGGGAATGGTTGTGTGAGCCCAACGAAGCTCATTCGTGCTCTTCCCCCTCCCCTCTCCGCCCTTTCCCCCTCCTCTCCCGCCCCTCAGTCTTTCGTCGCTCTCTGCTTGTTAGTCTTTGCGTGCCGTCCTTGTGTAATCCTGCATTCCATCTCCTTTTAACTGCACCGTCCCTTTTGTGTATTCTTGCACACCTCCTCTCGTGACCGCCACCGCCCCTTCTCTATCGGACCCTCCATCGCGCATTCAACAGCCATGCCACCGCGTCATAACGGCGGCGTCGCTGGGAAGCCTCAGCGCGAGGAGCAAGAGGAGCAAGCGGAGCAAGAAGTGCAAGAGGTGGAGGGAGAGGAAGGAGAGGAGCAAGGCGAGGAGGCAGTATTCGGCCGTCCACCTCTAGCACCACCAGCAACGCCTGCTGAACCTGCCCCTGCTGCTGCCGCTGCCCCAGCAGCCGCAGCAGCTGTTGCGGCTATCGTTGATGCCGATATTGTCCACTCGGCACTAGAGTCCTCAGTGCAAGCCGGAGAAGCCACAGCAGCAGCGCTTGATCTCCAGCGGTTGGAGCTAGACCGGATTATAGCGGGGTGGGAGTTGCGTGCAGGGGAGAGGGAGGCGCGGGATGAGGAGAGGCGGGTGAGAATGGAGGAGCTTCAAAGAGGGATGGGAAGCATGGGTATGGAGCGCAAGGCCACGCGGCAGCAGGCTCAGGAGCGTAGAGCTCTGGCTGAGGAGATGCGACGACCCAAGGCGAAGGTGAGCGGGCAGAGCGTGCGGTGTGCGGGGCTGGGGGTTCAGAGGACGCTCAGGAGGGCGTTCCGGAGCGATTAGGAGCTTAGAGCTGCTGCTGAGGAGGTGCAGCGAGCCAAGGGGCAGGTGAGATGGTGGAGTGTGGGTGATGGGTGGAGTTTTGGGGAGTGGTGGGAATTTTGTGTTTTGCACGGGAGCAGAGAATGATGATCTGTTGTTCAGAGATGGAGGTTCAGGGTTAAGAGAATGGAGGAACAGCAGTGTCAGCCACGAGTGGGGAAGCACAGAGAATTTCGCCTCCTATTCTCCGCTTTCTAACCCTTCCCTCCCCTCCACACCACACCCCTTCCCTTCCCACCTCCCTTCCCTCCCTTCTTCCTGCTCTCTTACCTCCCTTCTGCCCACTCCCCTCCCTCCTCTCCTCTCTTCCCCCCCCTCCCTGCCCCACTCTCCTTCTCCCTGCCTCGCGTCTCACGGCCACTGGATGCGCTCTGTCCTGCGGGCCGTGCGTCTCAGCCTGTGGAGCGCAAGCTGTCAAAGCAGGAGCTGCAGGAGGTGGAGCAGGCATTCCATGGCGGGCCCAGGTGCGTGACGTGGTGGGCCCAGGTGCGTGACGTGGCGGGCCCAGGTGCGTTCCATGGCGTTCCAAGGGTTGCTACACGGGCCACTTGACCATATAGACTTAGTTCTATCCATGCTCGAATGCAGGAAAGCTAGATAGCCTTCCGTGATCAAATTGCTCTGCCTTTTCCCAGAGCTAACTAACCCCTCCGCTGCCTCCCTCCCTTTTATCCCCCTTTCCCCCCCCCTCCTCGCCCCCCTGTCTCCGTCCCTCCCCCATTGCCTGGATACCCGCGTGCCCCCCCTGCGTGGATGCAGTGGCGAGCAGCTGTCATTCCACCAGGGGTCTAACATCATTGTCACACGCAACCACATGCGCTGTCTCATGCCAGGGGGGTGGCTCAACGACGAGGTGGGCTGGGCTGATTGCTGGGGTCAACAGGTGCTGGGTGCGTCGATGGGTGGGTAGGTGGGTGGGCGGGGGTAGGTGCATGCGTGGGTGGTCGGGTGGGTGGGTGGTCATGTAGGCGCTTGGCTTGAAGGGCGGATGCCTAGATTTGTGTGAGGCGCACTGCACGCACCACTCCCCCTTTCCCAATGCCTCTTCCCGTTTGTGTCCTCGCCCCCCACCCACCTCCTTTTCCCGCTTTTGCGCCTTCAACCTCTCCCTGAACTCCCCCCCCCCGCCTTCCCCCCTCCTCTTCCCCCTCCCCCCCCCCCCAGGTGATCAACCTGTACATGGAGCTGCTGAGGGACCGTGAGAGGCGCACACGACATGTCCCCTCAATTCCCCCCTCCCCTTCTCCCCTGTCATCTCCCGTTTCCCTCCCTCCCTCCTCCCCCCCACTTCCCCCCCCCTTCCTCCCCCCTCCTCTCTTCCCCCCTTCCCCTCTCCTCGTCCCTCCCCCCCAAGTGATCAACCTGTTCCCTCAACTTCCCCCTCATCTCTTCCGTTCCCCTCTTTCCCCCCATCCCTCCCCCTTCTCTTCCCCCCCCAGGGGATCAACCTGTACCTGGAGCTGCTGAAGGACCATGAGAGGCGCACACGGCATGCCCCCTCAAATTTCCACTGTCATCTCCCGTTTCCCCCCTCCCGCCGCCCACCCCACCCCCCCCCCCCTCCTCCCCCCTCCCCCAGGTGATCAACCTGTACCTGGAGCTGCTGAAGGACCGCGAGAGGCGCACACGGCAGCCCGGCAACCGCAAGGGCGGGTGGCCTGTCTGCCACTTCTTCAACTCCTTCTTCTACGCACGGGTGAGTGCCGGGGGGGTGGGAGAGGGGCACGGGGCTGGCAGCAGGAAGGGGGCAGGCGGCAGCCCGTGTGCCACTTCGCCAGCTCCTTCTTCCATGCATGGGGAGGGAGGGAGGGAGGGAGGGAGGGAGGGGAGGGAGGGAGGGAGGGGAGGGAGGGGAGGGAGGGAGGGAGGAGGGGGGGGGGGGGGGGAGGGAGGGGGGAGGGAGGGAGGGAGGGAGGGAGGGAGGGAGGGAGGGAAGGGAGGGAGGGAGGGAGGGAGGGAGGGAGGGGGAGGGGAGGGAGGGAGGGAGGAGGGAGGGAGGGAGGGAGGGGGGGGGGGGGGGGGAGGGA